GACCAGAGATAGATTGGAAGCTATCTATTTTTCATGTCTTTCTTCTTTTTCTTTTACTTTATCTCACGTTTTCCTTTTCTTTATAATTTGTATTTTCAATTTTCTTTTCATTTCTAACTTTTAACTTTGTAATTTTAAAATCTGAATAAAATATTATTAAAAAAAAGAAGAGAAAACCATATCCTGAAAGAAATTAGCAGCAAACCTGTTTTGTATCGTTGCTGAGAAAGCTGCAGGCAGATGGCCATCTAGTGACTAGGAGTCAAGCTCAGATTGCTTTACTTAAATTACCAGTACGGAAGGAATAAAATGGGGTCAGTTGGTGCTAAACTTATTTTCTTGGGACTAAGCCCTATCTTGCTATAGAAAAATGTCCTATATATTTAAAATGATAAAATAAAATAAGAGTGCATGCAATTATTTATGTGCCAACCAGTCATCTCTCTGAGCATAACATGTTTTTTGAAATAAATATATAAATGAATGAAGAGGTAGAAAGAACAGGATGGCAACCAGCCTATCAACCCTATTTGCTCACTTGATGCTCTCTAGTGGTCCTTTGGAATTTGGACTTGAGTTCCAGCTCAGACTACACTGTTACTTATAAACAGATCACAGTTATATATGAATTCTACCAAATGGATTTTGAAAAATTGTATTTCCTTCAACAAATGATGAAGTTGCTCTTTTTAAATATTAGGATTAGGAGAATTGGAAAAAGTGCACTCATTGTTATGCTACAGCTATTAGATACTTTTCTGGGGTTAAGCTGAGCAAGGAGACTGTTTCTTGGTTCTGTGGCTGCCCATTACATGATAGTATGGAATTTCAGATTCAGGTGTCACTTGCCAGCCCCACCAGGTAGACCAGACCAAGAAATCAACAGGAAGGCTAAAGCTACTTTTATTGAAAGTGGCTATAATAGCAGAATACTCTTTTCTCAGGCAAGTTGACTAAAAAGCCAGAAAAGAAATGGGCGAGGACAATAACTACTGGTGTTTGAACCTTATTTGCACGATGTTAGCGTCTTAGATGGAAAACTCTGATAATCTGCATACGTTCGGATTAGCTACAAAAATGTCTCAAAATTTGCTGGGAAGAAGAAGCTAATGAAATTGGGAAAAAACAGTACATCCCCAAACCTGTAGAATGAGACAAAGTAAACCTCATTGATTTTACTCATGAGTTGTAAAAGAATAGCGTAGAATTTCATGGTGTCTCTTTGCAGTTTATACTTACTTATTTTAGTTATTTATTTTTAAAGCATGGCCTTACTGCGATTCATCTTGCCGCATGGTCTGGTAATTTGGACATAATGCTGATGTTAATTAAAGCAGGAGCCGATCAAAAAGCAACAAACCAGGTATGCTATCCAGAGATATAAGCCAGCAACTGAAGGATTTCTAATTCTGTTTTCAGTAACTGTTCTGTCTTTTTCTTAGGAAGGGATGAATGTCCTACACTTTGCTGCCAAGAACAATAGTGTTAGAATAGTGAATTATTTTATCCAAGATCTTCACCTGATGGAACTCAGTAAACCTGATGAGGTATCATGAGTGCAAAGTATACTATAAGCAACTGGATGATGGATATTAGCAATATTTTTGTGAATATTTTTTTTTAATTCTGAGCATGCTTATAAATATGGCCACCATTAATTTTTTATCTGTATTTCATGAATATTGGCAAAATAGACCTTTGTTTCATACAGCATTGTTTACAGAGTGGGTCAAACCTGGCAAGATGTGGAGGTAGTATCATGATGCAAGTCCCACTCCTTTTATACGCGTGTCAGTATGGCACACACACATATATAAGGGGCAGGGCTTGCACCATAATGCTATGCCTATCATTTTTCAGTTGAGATACACACACTGTTGTGTATTTCTGACCCCTCTTGATTAACCATATCACATTGTTAATTACATTAACTGATTCTACATATATTCATACTCATATTCTCTGTAGTAATTCTGAACATGCATCAAATGCCTGGCTGTTGTTGGGCCAAGGGCTGCACTTGGCCTGTGAACTTGGGGGCTACGCTCCAGAAGGCTTGGCTCAAAAATCTAAACTCAATTTAATTTAATTTTAATTTAATAAAAATAACATTCAGTTACTCCAGTATAATTAATATGGTTGATCCCCATTTGCTTAATGACTTTCTCCTCTTGTTACTTTAAAAATTGCAAACTGGTAGCCACTTTTTGATGGGATCTCACCAGCTTCTAGGGGCCATATATGGTTCTGAGGCCTCTGGACTAAAAGGTTATGCATATAAGTTGTATCAAATATATAGCAATACAAGAGGCTTTTTAAAACTTCATTGTTAACTGATGCGAGCAGCATTTGCAAATCTTTCCATGAAAAGACCTACAGACTCAGTCTTCCTTTAGCACCACTTTAAAAAAAAGTTAGGTGATGGGATTGTAAGGTCCTTGCTGCATCCTGAGCCAGACTTGCTAAATACAGTGGCCTTAAGGTAGGTCTCATCCAGGTTCATATGGCACTTGCAGCATCACCAGAAGATGTTCATGCAGAGTTTGAGCATCTTCTTGCTCAGCCTTCTTGCAGGTCACCTGTAGATAATTTTGTAGTTAGACTGAGGACCATATGCAACCCGAGGGGCACAAATTACTTCCAACTGGGTTAAGGCTACTGATAAGTAATCTTTGCAGAATGCCAGTATTCTTCTATAGTGGCTTTTAAACTTCACTTTTCTCCCAGAAAGGTAGAAAGCCATTCCTTCTGGCAGCTGAAATGGGCCATGAAGAAATGATAAATGAGTTGATTACCCTTAATTTATTCACCTCAGGAAAAGATAAGGTAAGTCTTATTATAAAGCTTATTATTTGATTTTGTATATTGTGTGCAGACCACCAACAGACTACGGTTATTATCCCTGTATTTCTAGGGGTTTTTTTATTATATAAAAAACTTAAATGTACTTATTTCTGAAATTTTTCACTCAACACTAAACCTGTAGTATATGTTGTACCAAAGTCTACCTCAGTTAACGAGTCTTATAAATAATTCTTCCCTCCTTTGTTGCCTGAGCTATATTAGAGTCTTCAGACACCATGTACCCACCTTGAAGTTAGTTGGCTTCTGTTGCTGTCAGCTGCTCTTCTGAACTGCTGCTGAAGCGTTAGTCTTTCCTTCTGTGTTGAGGAGGGTGGGAACAGCTGCTGGATGGTTGTAGGCTGTCCGCATCTTTGCTGGAGTAAAATAGCTTCTGGGCTCTGCTTCCCCTTTCAGGTCCTGTGCTTTGGCTTGCTGTAATCCACACCTCCTCCTTTTTCACAGTCACCTGCTAAGCTACAGTTTATTGCGATACCCTGGGCTGCAAATTCTTCCTCTCTGCTCTCTTGCATGACAGGAATCTTTTTCCAACACACTCTTAGGCCATCAGGTCCAATTCCCTGTTCAGTGCATGTATATATCAAGCATCCGTTATCCTCCACTTAAGGACTTCCAGAGAAAGGGAAGCCACCACTTTTCCAGTTATCGTTGCACTGTCCTTACTATTAAGAAGGTTTGTCTAACATTAATTTGGAATGTAGAAAAAAGATATTGAAAACCAGCAGGCAGATTTTTTTTCAGGTGAAAACACACTTTTAATTGATTGATTGATGTCTAGCAAGCACTGGAGGGCACTGATACTAGAACACCATCATCTTTGCATTTGTTTTTCAATGTCTTATACTTGTAGCATGTCTACCAGAAGTCTGATTGCATTTTCTGTGAAAAAAAATCAGTGGGAAGTCATACTGGTGTTATATGGAAGTTTGCACTGAATAGGTAGGTCAGCCCTGAGTGGCTCTGGGAGGAGAGGTCACAAAAAAGGCGGTGGGCTTTGTGGTCCACAAAGCAGTTTATTCTCTGCTGATTTTTTTAAAACCCCCTCCTCTTGGAATTTAATTAGCCAAATAATGAAGATGATAATTTGCAAACTCATTGAACTACAGTGAGGGAAAAAATTATTTGATTCCCTGCTGATTTTGTATGTTTGCCCACTGACAGAGAAATGGTCAGTCTATAATTGTAATGGTAGGCTTATTTTAACAGTGAGAGACAGAATAACAACAAAAA